TGATCAAGATATGTTTTTGGATGTTCACGTTGCGAGCAAATTTGATACTTGTAATTATGTTTTGAAAAAGTGGCGTTTTAAAGAGGATGTATAATTGGGAGTCTGGTGTAAAATATGTCCGGTCATGTAAACTGATACGTCTGATACATGCAAGTTGTTTAAGGCGTTGATTTTTTTTTTGTGCACTTGTTTTGCACCGACCATGAAACCGTCGTATGGTAAAGGTGTGTTAAATGCTATCCGATGACAATTCTGTGTGCACACAACTTGAGGGCGTTTGACCGCAAGGTTCTGAACTTAAGAGAGAAGAAAAAGTATTATTCAATATATTATATTGTTTAAACGTTGTTTCAATATAATGAAGAAATAATCAAAGTATGCATCATGTATATTAAGGAAGAAATCGTAACAAAGAATATTATTTAGAAATATATGATAAATCATTGCGGAGCATCATGGAGTAGTTTCCATTGACATCATGAGAATACATGTACATGTAGTTATATAGGATAGACTGTGTAGCATCAATGTAGTTATATAGGATAGACTGTGCGTAGCATCCTGGGATAGTTTTCATTATAGACTACATTGTAATGACATCATTTATCATAATATGAAGAAAATATTGCTTCGTCTCGAATTCAATCTCCGATTTCGTGAACTTGGTGCATTAATACGAAGAGGTTGACAAAAGAAATTGTAAATTAAATAAAATTTCTCATCTTTACTATTCAGCCAGAATCAATATGAAATATTGATTTTAACCGAAAATTCATTTTTCAATGATGAAAAAATATATTTTACTATAGAGTTGGTTAACAAAAGTTATAATGGACTACTTTTTAGGCGAACAATTATATTTTACTCCCATAAAAGATGAGTTCGACATCAATCGCTAGAGAGAGATGCGACACTGAGCCATTCTTTGTTTATTGATACGCCCCTCATTTGAAAACCTTCGAATGCAGCCTTCAATATTGAAGTAGATCAAATTTCTTTATAACGATAGAAAAAAAACAGCGTCATAATTTGTGAAAAGATAATTAGTTATAAATGTTGCCTCCTGGGAAATGCTTCTAAATTAAAGAAAAAAAAAAGAATTAGTTTGATTTAGAACAAGATAACGTTATTTTATTGATGTCAAATTTAAGAATAAACTATGAAGAACGATTTGAAATCCTTCAGATTACGACTTGCCGAGGTCTTTTTTTAATCATTTGGCAGGCTTCAATTTCAAGTCACAAAATTACACATCTTGTATAGATTTTTTTTCAATATTTTTTTTTTCGTATATAAAGACGTTGATTTAAGAGATTTCAGTTTAGAATTCTGAATATACAACAGATTAGCATCTTTACTCATCAGGTATTGTAGTATAAAATGGCATCTAATCTATAAAATGAAATTTCATACGTACTTTACAATAAACGTACATATTTCAATGGATTTTTTCAAGTGGTCGTTCTCAATGGTATTGAATAAGTTTGTATTATCTACGACAGATGAATGCGTTGAGGAGGCTGGGGCATGTTTAAACGGGAGTCGCTGATTTAATATCTTCTTCCCATTTATAATGAAAGTAATCATGGGCACCATTGTCACTTTTCACGAAAAATTAAAGATGGTGAAACTTGACAACATTTCAGCTGACTATCATTACTATATTGAAATCATGAACTTTTTGATGATGTATGACCCTGTTAATGTTGAATTGCCTAAAAAATTCTGATTCATTTATTTAGTAGAAGCTTATGAAACTTAGGTATTTGGTATAAATCTGTCAATTTTTAAAGTAATTAAGGCACTGGTATGATTTTAGAAGATGATATTGTCAAGACATTTTAGTAATTGATGATTATTTCTTAGTAGACATGAAGTATGTACATTGATTAAACAGTAGATTGATTCAAAAGTTTGTTTATAAGCTTATAGTTTCCTACAAAATCCAAACTAAGATAAATTGTACAAACTAAGAAATTGTCAGTCAATTTTAATATGGTATGTACAGTTGTGCACCAGTCAAACATGACTCCAACTCCACCATCACTTTGGCAGTGCGGAAGAATCGGGGGGAATAAGCGTAGTTTGTCTCTGCACAGTTGTGTCTATATTTTGATAGAATATTTCCATCTCAAAAGTGGAAGAGCACTAAGTAGGTATTTTATTAACTATTGGAGCCTTTGCCCAAAGTGGGATAATCCAACAGTCAAAGTTATTGCTTTTATAAAAGTCTAATAGAAGATGTTTGAAGAGCAAAAAGATGTTTAAGAGCTTGAAAGATGATTAGAATTGGAAAATTTAATGGGATGCAGTTGGATCTGATGTGCAAAAATATAAAAGTATTTTAGTTGTCTGGGTATATTGTGTATATATCAATATATGAATGTTTAATATTTTATTGTGATTTAAGTGTAAATGGTAGAGGCTATTTTAAAATGTGGTATTAGGGCATTTTAAGATGTTTTAGTGGGCAGCAGGTTGTTGGATATGAACAAACACTTAGTATATTACCAGATATCCTTGTTTTATATGCGTTACTTCCCCAAGTACATTAAATGGATTATTGTGCGATTTTGTTGGGAGATAATTTTTGAAAGGTTTTATCATTAAAATTTTATGGAGCCAGTCTGTTCTTAAAATCATCTTTGAGAGTAAAGAGGTGACGCAGTCTGACAGCATAGTTTTGAAGTAATTTGTTTGTGCTCGCGTTCAATAAGATTTTATCCTTGTGATATAATTTATCATAACTTGTACTTGCAAAATCAATTTCAGCACTTGGGGACATCGAACAAGTATCTTGTATCCCAAATTTATTGATGTGATTTAGCGAGGTCTGATCTTAAATACCAGCATTCCATAGATACTGACTGGGTTACAGCTCATTTTGATTGTAAGAGGGGTTTTTTTTAGCCCACGTTTCAACTTGTTCGATAACCAGTCTCTTTGCGTGAGACAAGCCAAATGATGTTTAAGCGCTTTTTTTTATTAGATAAAACAAACAAGTGTATGAAAGGTTTATTGAATTTCCTGTCAAAACTATTCAATTACCTTAAGATCTTTGAAAACATGAACGAAAGATGTTGACAATTTTTCCGTTTCTGAAGAATTTCTCTAGCGCAAGATTGTAACGTTTTATTTGAAGTCGTGAAAGAATTTATGACTACTTACGCAGCTGCATTGAATTGATGAATTGCACAAATGTAAATATTTATCTTCAGAAACTGTTCAGTGTTATATTGAATTTTGTGTTGCAACACTTAAAAAAATGTTTCCATTTTTTTCCCCAATGATTTCAATTTTGTGGGAAAAATTCTTTGCAGGTAATTTTCTGCTATGTGAAAAAGGTGTGGTGATGTTTTTTGTTAAATGATATTAATGGTGGGACTATAGAAACAGTGCACGCTGATTTTACCAAGCTATGACAAAGTTCTATTGAAATATTGAATATTTATTTTTATATCACTTTGACATTGTGTTGTTTCTATGTTATTAAGCATTGTTCAAGAATACTAAAGAATGCCGTCAAAAGGTGCAGTTGTAAAGGACAGAAGTTTCTATAAGAATTGCGCCTCAAAATTGTCTAAATATAGAACCTGCATGGTCTGTATCATACTAGAAGGTCACATTTAACCTCCAGATACTGAAGAGCTTATCAAAACTTACCAGGTGCAGTGTCGTCTGCCCGATGCAAGTTGTGGTGAAAATTTTTACGTCTGCCCTGGGAGTTTGGACAGCTGATGGGGACTACTTTCACTGATATTCATACACTATCTGTTAAAATAAGTCCCTCCACATCACCATCTTATCTGTGACAGTTTGTGGCCACAATAGAACTAGGTTATCTCTCAGACTTCTGAAATTGTTTGCAACAAATGATTTCTTTAGCATAATATTAATATAAGGTTATCAAAGTGTTCAGTTGACGTGAGCTTAGTACATGTACACTGATAGGCAGTGTCACTTTTCTCACAAAGTATCAGCAGATGCTAAAATGTGCAACATTTCTCACTAGGTTTTCAGAAGTTGCATAAGTATTTAGATTTAAAATTGTGTTCAATTTTTTGGCTTCCCACTATCTGTTATCAATTTGGACATCTTCAATTTGAAATAATAGTATTGATAAAATGTGGGTATGAATAGAACATGCATAGCGTTTTAGGTACACTTAAAATACACCAAGAATAAGATAATTTGTCTCTTTTGTTGGCGCATCTTTTCAATTTGGTCATTGATTTTGTGGACCACAATTACGATAAAACTTTAAATGCGTCCTCTGCCAAGTTAGATTGATGTCTGATGTAAGAAATAAGTCTTTATATTCGCAATAATTATCGGCAATTATATTTCTATAACCTTGCATGTCAAGACGCTGACTTTAAAAGCTTATGGTATTGGCGTCTGCTTCGGATGACATGCATTCATTTATAATGATTTAAAACATAATTGCATGAAATGATTCAATACGGTGTATAAGATTTTGATTTGTCATGATATTTTTTGTACCAAGATGATTCAAGACTGTATAGATTATACAATATAAAGATCATAGATGTTATGAAATAGTCCTCGAAATTTTTATTAATCTCATAATAGAAACAGAATAGGTTGGTCACTGTTAGGTGTTTTATTTATGTAACAAAGAACTTGAAACATTTGATTTGATTTCCTACAATGGCTGTTGAATTCTTTCAAGTGAGAAAGCTGTCCAGCCATGTTATAGATGTATGATAATTTTTCCACCCAAGGCTGAAGTAATGTAAAATTTTAGGGTTAATCTCCACCAGTAAAAGTTGGAAGTTGTTCAAAAAATATTTTTTGTGAATTAATGAAATAATTTAATAAATTGGTCAATTTAATGAAAAAATATTTCCTTAAAGGCAATGGTACCAATTTATTCAACTCAACAATGTATTTATAATAGTCAATAAAGATATTTTAATTTCATGTCAAACTCATCCTCGACATTCAGAAATCTAATAAAATTTATTTTCTATTTTTAGCATATGAAGATGATGTTGGGACTGTACAAGGAGAAGAAGTCCTGGTTCCTATCTCACAGACAAATGGACACAGTCTGTCTAACTCAGAACAGGAAAGAGTAAGCTCCCTTTTCAAACTAAGAAACTTTTGTGGAAACCAGACTCACAATGGTATGGTGGCATAAAGGGGACATCAGAAATATTTTATCTATCATGTGCCCACGGGATAGTTACTACGTGCGCATGAGATAGCTACCAATTGCGTATGCAATGTGTGCGCACATAATAATTGACCAAAGTAGGGGCTATTGCATGCGCATGTAGTATTTATTGCTTGCACACGTGATAGATAACATATTTCTGATGTCCCCTATATGCCACCGTACAATGGTGACTCTTTTGGAAATTTGGAAATTTTGTTGACCAGTCTAAAAATTAATTGACTATTTATAGTATCATTTTAAAGATGATCATTTAAAATCTTTTTTCTTTCAGACTGGATTCAGTTTAAGATAACAAGCGGCTCAAATACTTAAAAGTATTTGATTGGCAAGATGGCAAAAATTTAACAAATAGGATTAAATTATTACTTCCTGTTTCGGAAATGAAGTAAGATGGTATTTCATGTTTAAAAAAAATACATTGCATGTTAATTTAGGTAATCATTATTACTAAATACACTTTTAAGAAATTTCCGTTGAAAAAAGTGTTTTGAAATAATATACATGTACATTCATGTGAAAATAAATTTTACCAGTTTCTTTTTTTTGAAAGAAGTTTGAAAATTTGATGTAAATTTTGTTGCCGCCCACAATGCTGAGCGTTCTTGTATGATGATAAATCACGCGGATTTTAAGATTTTCATCACATTGACTAGTTGATACAATTATACAATTGTATGGTTTTGGGAATAAAGAAAGATTGCGTGGTTGTTGAAATCCGTTGTAAAAATTTTGATAAATCATTTTCCGATTAAAATCCTTGAGTAATTTATATAATGATAATTACGGTCATAATTGTATCGGATCTGCAAGCATTCCACATCCTTCGGTAGAGAGTTTCGGGTAACGGTAAATAATCGAGCGTCAAGGATAACCAATTATTTCTTTGGCCCAGAAAGTATTAAGAGATGAAACAAGTTTGAATTGAGTTGAATTACCTTTTATATAAAGCTTAGATTCATTTCATACTTTAATTGGACAAAATATCAAGTTGAAAATACATAGATGAATTAATTGAGTGTGAATTCACTTGAAAATTGCACGTTCAGACTTATGTGTAACGAACATTCAAGGATAATGGCTTGAATTAAAAAAAAATGTTACCAAATTCTGTTATTGAAATAAGCATTATTATTTTTATTTATGAATATGTTATAATAGCTTTGCAGTAAATTATTCTTTTTGTTGCTGATTCAACGCCTAAAAAATTTGAGATCATATATAATTTTGCAAATTATGAATAAAACCTTAATCGAAAACAAATCATGTCCTTTGATGGGTTGTGCATTAAAACGAGCTTCTTTCCATTCAATCCTTAAAATGGACTTGCCAAATATAATAAAATGGACTCGTCCATATTTCAATCTGGACAAAACCATTCAATATTTTGAGGGAGCACAGTTTACAGATTAGCACTGAATGCACAGCGGACAGTGCTGACCATGTTCAGACCACATGGATGTGCCGGCTCAGATCTTAGTCTGCTCTGGTGGCATGGGTACTACAAGAGGGTACGTTAAGTCACTGACAGCAGGCTGTAAAGTGTTAAAGATAAGCTTACCTTTTAAATTGTGAATGTATGTTAGTGTGAAGTGTGAAACTATTTATAATGTAATAATTGATCTCTTAGTGACATCCATTTATTTCTTTGTGATTCTGGTTTTAAATGTTCTTTCAAAAGGTTATTTTAAATATTTCCGCACCACACACACAGGCTCCGACTTGTTTCAGGTAGACATAATTATCACCAGATGAATGGTTCGGCCTGGAGTCTTAGGGAGTTTGAACAAGATAAAGTAAATATTGCCAGAGCTGAACGGCTGATTTAGATAACATACATTGTATATTTATGTACATATATTCCAACTTTCTAACGTATCCATGAAAAGCTTTCAATCCCTTTCAATAATAGGCCAAATACGTAAAAACTTGCTGCTGTTAGGTACATGTCTTTTGGAGTTGATATACATAAAAATGTTGGTCCTTAATCTTGATTCTTCTAATTATTTGAGCCGCATCACGACAAAACCAACATAGTGGGTTTGCGACCAGCATGGATCCAGACCAGCCTACGCCTTCGCGCAGTCTGATCAGGATCCATGCTGTTCGCTATCAGTTTCTCTACTTGTTTTAGGGTTAAAAAAAGTGTAAGCGAACAGCATGGATCCTGATCAGACTGCGCTGATGCGCAGGCTGTTCTGGATCCATGCTGGTCGCAAACGCATTATGACACGGCTCATTTGTCTTCAAAACATTATTATTTTAAGGGGAAAAATTGCGTTTATTCTTAATTGAACTTTGTAATGTAAATGTTAGCTAAAAGGTTTATGGATGTTAAAATGAGTGAAACAAAAGTGAAATGAATTATTTGTTTTTCTTTAATTAATGACCTGCAGGTGTTATCATAAATTATTCAATTAAATTATTTTCTGAAAAGTTCACTTCTCTGTTTATTACTATGTAATATCATTATATTTCTCTAAAACTGACTTATTTATTTAAATAATTACTCTAATATGACAGTAAATGTGATGTTGCATTTAGATAAAAGACAGTTTTGAAATAATAACAGAAATGTCCTTTAAGTGGACATGATGGAAATGTTATCGTCGTAGAAAATTTGGTCAAGATATAGATGTAAAATTTATATTCACAGAAAATTATCAATAGAACTGAAAAATGCTGCCTAAATGACCATACACCTGGAATGACACTAACATGTCACATTGAAGGTTCCATGATAACCGTGTATGAACAAAATTTCAAATTCAAGATAACACCATTTTCATGTTTAAATGTTGAATTCTGCGGGGTGTGGACAGTAGTTTGCACTTGACAGTAACTCACATGATTAGGCTCAATCAAACCGAGCCTGCAACATTCTCAATTTTGCTGTTTTGGGCCTTCTTTAGGGATTCTTATTTTCTCTATTTTACAATTTACATTTTCAAGTAGCACCTTGACGTGGTGGAACAGAAAGTGATGAGCCTTTGATAATGGTCAGTTCCAAAAAACAGAAACTGGACAAATCTTTAAATGAAATTTAGCAGGTTACTGAAAATATTATTTTCTTGGAATATTTCTTTAAAAAGAAATATATAGCAAAATATATAGTAAAATATAGTGGGGGTAAAAAGTATGTAAATAATGTTTACAATTGCGAAAACTGAATTCAAAAGGTTAGGGTTAAAAAATAAGTAGAACTGAAAATAGACATTGAAAACTAACAATTATTTAGGTATTGCCTATAGATTATATTGAAGCATTGGTTTGGTACAGAGTAGGGTTAAAGTAAACCTCAAATTCACGAGTCTGCATCTAGCTATATAGCTGCATTCTAGCGTTGCCAAGCAGATATCAATGTACCTCCATTATTGACTTTATCGACCAAAAACAATCCATCAACTAATTTGTTTTTTTTCCTTAAATTTTCTACATGTAAAGTTTTTATGATGAATATGTTATTACAATAATTTTTTTTTATGAAAAAACATTATAAGAATGATTTTGATAAATATTTCAATTGGTTTATCTATTTTGTAATATTTTGCAATAATTTAATAATTTGTGAAAAAATGACAACAGCTGTACTAATATGATGATTAAAGTTTAATCACGGACATTTTGAAGGATTTACTGTTAATGATTCATACTGGATGTAAATGATCATTCAGTTTATAATCATTTAGATTGTCTAGAAAAAATAATTGTTGATTGGTTAGACATAAAGTCTGCTGTAGGAAGGAGTCTATAATTCATACATGATAATGATCGCGATGTACTTAAAATGAAAAGAATGCATCATTTTACAATTGTTTTCTTGTATATAAATAAGTCATGTTGTTTTACCTGTATCAGGTATAGAGTTTTGTGGCCGTTTTTTTCCAGCTAATTTGTTCTAATTGGTTATTTGTAAGTATCTGACGCCCCCAATGAAGGCCATCGTATAGCGTGACTAAACTAGCTTGTCTCCGCTGCGACTCGATTTTATTGCGGTCAAAAAGTTTTAAACGATGGGTTTCTTTTATTAAATTATGAATAACCAATTGCATTCTTAAGCGATGCTTTCATTTCGGGTATTATAAAGACCAGTAAATAATGGTTGCGTCTAGTATTATATAGTTAAACATTGGGATGTCAACACGGAGTTAAAACTTGAAAAGGGCTCTGAAGATTTTATCATTTAAAGTACGGACACTGAAGGATTTGTAAATACTGATGAAAGCATGGGAGTTTCAATAAAGGTAGCAATTGTCGTCATTTATTTACAGTTTGACAGGCAGGAACTTTTCTCTGGATGATGTAGAATCTTGTTTAAGAGAAATTAAACAAAATATCCGATTTTTTTCTTCTTCTTCTTCATATTTTGGATTTATTGATAGATACAATTGGTTATTTGGTACACAGGGAAAATATCACCAATTACTATAATATTGAATGAATTGCGAAAGTTATGTGATATTTCTTATTGAATACTCTCAGAAAGGTGTTTAGAGTCATACAAAAATAGTTAAGTTATATATAACAAAATGTCTTTTATTTTTCTAAAGTTTGAATTAACATTTATTTACAGGACGATGACACAGACTTTGGAGAGTTTGCTCCCCTGGTGATGGACACGGGACCTAGTCAGAACGAGGAAATGTTGGAGAAGTTACGTCCACAATCCCCGAACAGTATTACAATACACAAAGAACTTCCACAGTTTGCTCAAATTCCACGACCTGAACCTATTAAGCCATTGCCTATCATTCCATCACATAAGGAATCAAAATTATCCAGTTTTAGTGACAACGAAAGCAAAAACATTCCAAATTTCATTCCATCGGCATCGTTATCACCAGTAATGTCTTCCACCGTGTCGAGCTTCAGCGGAAACAGTGGACCACCCTCACGTGTTGCCACGCCAACAACACCATCAAATATAGATGAAAACTCCAAGTCAAGTTTATCATCATCAGGGAATGCGATGAGACGTGGTACTAAGGTAACCAGGGTAATGTAGACATTTATTATAAGGTGTGATCTCCCACGTCACTGTTTTTTTTTATTATTCAGTTTTGGAATAATGCAAACCACTTCATTTTGATTTGTCAGAAACAAAACTTTCACTCTTGAGTGTGTGTTTTTTTCCAACACAGGGATTTTGTTTATTTTGTAGATTTTGACTACATTTTGTTTTGAAAATGTCAAACTCTACAAAGTCACCCAGTAAAACTGCAAGCAATGACCTAGTTTTCGTTGATTCTTTTCCTGTTTAGCGGTGGGAGAGGTGTTAAAAGCTTAACTATTTGTTTAAGATAAAAATGATGTGTTAACTTGCAGACTTTACTGATGTCACTCATTTATCTTTTATCTGAGTTTTTCAAATCTATACAAAAAAATGACCCTACCACTCACACCTTATACTTGGTGCCTAACAACCTATTTCCATGACAACCATGTTAACATGGTAACCACTGTTTGACATAGATTTGATGTTGCTGTAGTGTATTTTTCTCCATAATTTTGTGTACTGTATCTTTTATGATTGACACTGTGTGAAGTTTTCTCATCTGTTATTTTTTTCACCTTTTCTACCTTTCATTACCACTAATCAGGGCTATTTGTTACAGCTGTTTTGATTGGATAATCCTTGAAGTAAAATCTAACATGCTTGTGTGGCAATTTTAATATAATAATTTTTCTGCCTAAAATAAAAGAACAAGACTGAAATTATTTAGGGAAAGATCACTCCAAAAATTTAAACTTAAAAAAACCTGAAAGTGTTTGTTTAAATACATTTATGTTTTTATTACTTTTTTGCTCTCAGTACTTTTTTGGTTTTTACAAAAAAAAGTGTCGTACACACAGACAGATTTTATGAAGGATTATAATGATTTGAAGTTACAAGATTAATGACTGATTGTAGCGGTCTTTGATAAAGATAGATTTATCCTCTCTCTTTATTCTACCTCTAGCTTCTGCCTATCTGTCCATAGATTTTATAAATTTAACGTTGGAAGGGAGACTAATATGTGTAATCTGTTGACCCATTTTAACTTAATACAAAATTTTAAAATTCCAATACAGTGTAAAACCAGCATTAAGTCCCTTAGCTTGAGTGGATTTGGTCGTAAAGGTACGACAGTGATTTCTTAAGGCATTGTTATGATTAGGGTAAAAAAAAAGTAAGGATTTGTGTAGTTAAGGGATGATTGGTGCAAATTCTCCAAGAATTGTGTTAATTAGTTTGCTAGGGCTAATTTTATGTTGCATTTTCAGAACTTGGAGAGGGACACAGCTGAAAATGATGAGAATCTGGATTATGATTCAGATTTTGATGATCTTGAAGAATTACTTAGTGAACTTATAAAACATAAGGTATCGTCCAAAGTGTACTTTATGTCATGTAATCCTGCAATAATATATTCAAGACAAATCTACCCCGGGGAATGCGGTACTATGCATGCATGTTAAACTTGAGGGTCTCACACGCTAAATACTGTAGTTACTGCAATTTTTTTTTTTTAATGAGTTACAATATACTTAAATTCAATAGTTTCTAATTTTGATTTTGCCATAGCGCTTGTAGTATTCACATACAGACTTTGTCAATGTTTTATGATTTAAATTGTAAATTTCTAAAACTGTAGTAATGAAAGTTATGAATAAGGCACACGTTTATGTATTTATGAGAAAAAAAATGCTTGACTTATTTAAGTTTATATTCTAACAAACATTATCTAACCCAATTCTTGCATGCTTTTCCTCAAACTTTATAACCTTGACCCTATGACCCTTTGACATTGCCTTGCATGCTTTTCCTTAGAAAGTACCCAGTTACCTTGAACTTTCACCTTTCACAGCATTATAATCCAACTTATTCTGTAGTCAGATGACCTTGACCTCTAATCTTTGACCTTGCTTATATTCACCTTTAGTTATAAATCATAGGTGATGGTGCTTATTTGTATGCTGCTTTAATCATTTAAAAAAATTGTTATTTTCAGCTTTTTTTTTACTTTTTTTTTTTGGCTCAGGCACAAAATTTTATTGTTTGTACAGTAAATAATGTTAGTACTGTAATTTAAATGACTATTCAAAGTCTAATTTAACAGTTTATAGAAAAAGTGCTAAAAAAATTTAAACTTAGTTCTTGTAATTTTGGGAAAGAAACATTTGAAAAGGGTAATTAATAAGTATATTTTAATTAATACATTATTTATGTAAGATTTATTTTATATTTATTGGTGTTATTTATAAAATATTTATTTAGGTTTACCCTCCGTCCGTCTGTCCGTCCGTCTGTCAGTCCGTCCGTCCACAAAACTGGATCCCGCGATAACTTGAAAAGTACTGAAAATATTTTTATGAAACTTGATATATGGATAGATGGCAGTATGGAGATTATGCACGTCTTTTTCTTTTCTTCCTATGTTGAAAATTCTGGTTGCTATGGCAACAAATAGACTGAAAATATGGCAAATTTTACACATAAACTGGATCCAGTGATAACGCAAAAAGTACTGGAAATATTTTTATGAAACTTGATATATGGATAGATGGCAGTATGGAGATTATGCACGTCTTTTTCTTTTCTTCCTATGTTGAAAATTCTGGTTGCTATGGCAACACATAGACTGAAAATATTGCAAATTTTACACATAAACTGAATCCAGTGATAACTCAAAAAGTACTGGAAATATTTTTATGAAACTTGACATGTGGGTAGATGGCAGTCTTGAGATTATGCATGTCTTATCTGTTCTTCCTATTTTGAAAAAATATTGGTTGCCTTGGCAACAAATAGGCTTATAACATGGCAAATATAACAATATTTGTGATTAGTCAAAAAAGAGCTGAAACTTTTTATGAAATTGCATCTTTAATTCCAGAGTTATCTCCTCTTTAAGAATTTTGCTTTTTAAAATGTTATATTTTGGTAACAGGGATGTTTCAAATATTAACTTTAGAGTGTCCTTCAGTCCGTCTGTCTGTCTGTTCATAAAAACTTTTTCCTGTGATCACTTTTAAAGAACATTTCCAACACTTAAAATAGAGAAAAATTTACACATTAGTGAATGGCCAATGGCCCTTCAGAATGCTGATGGGGTTCTATCTGGTAGGGGACTTATGGATTGCTTGCAATACTATGATAATTGCTTGTTTACTATGTTAATGAATTAAAAAAAAAAAAAAAAACTTTAATTTAAGATTTTATGTAAAGAAAACATTTAAGTGTTCATTATTCTAAGATATTAAATTTTGGACAATTTTGTACCTGAGTAACCTTTCCAAATAATTCTGCATGCTTCGTAATTTTTCGCTGTTACGGTAACTATTGCATGGTTTAATTATATGCGCAAACTCTTGACATTTTATGTTAAATAATACTTATTATATATATCATAAATGCACGCAAAATATCAAATTTATAGTTGTGTTTTCCAAATAATTAGGATTCAGGCTGGATACAGTGTCGTCTAAGGAGCAGGATAAATAATTTATCATGATGAGCTCATTTGCATATTTAAAAGAGCCGTCTCTGTCTCCGCCACAAATGTTACGTTGCATATTTTGAAATATTAAAAGTTAATGCATGACAGTATATTAATAATGACGAATATTTTTTGAAAAAATCGAGACTTCAGGAAGTGTCGGTTTGCCGTTACAGAATTTTTGCGTTACGCCACATTTGAACGTGAAATTTCTTGAATTAGTTATTTCGTTACATCTTGTTTTTCGATTGTTTATTCACAAGTTCATGATTATTAATATTGTCAGTAATTGATGCATGAATTAAGTCAGGTAGTGTTAATTGTTTACAATTAAGAGGCTGTAGCTTTTCATTGGTAGTATGAGATAATTTGGGATAGGAGGTAATTTCATTTATTATGATGACCACATTTATATCCTTAAATGAAACTGATGTAATATTTTTAAATGATAATATTAATTTTTGTAATAATTTCTAGAGACGTACGTTTGAAAGTGTCTTGCATGTGCAGCATGTATTTTATTTCTATAATTGCAATGCGAAGAGTCTTAATTAAATAAATGTATTAAACTGATATAAAAATTTAAAATAAGAATTGAAACAATAAGAAAATAAAACCAAGCAACTGTATCAAAACTCAAAAGTATAGGCCTCAGGTTAAGGCTGGACTGGCTCTTACTCTGGTTATTTCTTTGTCCGAAATTTTACGTATTTTTTTTGTGTACATGTTGTTTGATTGTGTACTATGTGTAGCAATATTGCCTGCAGCATAGAATAGTTTAAATATTGGAGAAAAAAAACAACAATTTTATTGCCTGGTTTAAATTGATTTATTAATGATAGAATAAACCTGAGACATTTATCATTTAATAAATCATAAGATATTTAATGAAACACTGGAGATGAAAATCATTAACTGTTTTAGACTTGTTTATATTGTACAAAAAAATGATGGCTCTAATCAAATGTTCCTAAAATTCAAAACAGGGTAAATCCATTGCTTATGGGTTAAATGTATTATATGTAAATAATTAATTGAACTCTTGAAAATTCAAATTTGGGCTTTGCTTAACTATTTAAATTGTTTAACATATTGAGGGTTAAGTAAATTTGATATTTTCTCTACATGACCACTGCCCTTAAACAAATACTAGAATTTCCTCCTTTTATAATTTACTTTAGCTCATTTAAGAGCCCTGTTTATTATCAACTTCTTTTTCTATCTCTTGAAAGTCACCATTGGTTACCTGCTTAAGGCAGGTTTAATTCTGATGATGTAGATACATCCTTCTTCTGTCCTCTGTTTTGTTTATTTGTTGAACGTTATATAACGTAACTGTACGTTAACAGTAACATACGTACATCACAATATTTTACTATATTTAGTGATGTATTGGTTGATACTGTGATATCTGTCTTTAAAATCACCCTCGCTAATTCTTGCCCTAATGTGATGTAATTACCTCTATAATGGTTCGCCCCTGGAGGCAAAAGTCGTAGCTGCTGAGTTGACAGGAGTCCACGGACAGACGCTCGACAACTTGCCATGCTGACGGAGCACGAGATTGTGCGGCCGAATAACCTTACTGACAGTTTATAATTCTGTTCATTTCCTGTTAAACTCTTGTACAGTAAATGCTTTTTTAATTATGATGGTTTTCAATTTAAAAATATTAACTAAATGGATTTAAAAGGGACTTACAACATGTGAAAATAGTGATAAAAGTAATTGTAAGTAGAAATTAAATACTTATTTTCATGAGTTAGAATTAAAAATAAGATAAAAATCAATTAAAAAATGTCAATTAATAATTAATTGCCTTACCTTGATTTATACCTGGATTTTATGAAGGTTTATTTATAATTTACATACTCATATTTACTTCTATATAGTATTGATCTGAAGATGAAATTCTGTTGTGTTTGATTTTTCATTTAGATTAGGTATTAACAAGGGTGAAAAATTGCCTCCTATTTTGTTATGTATTGATGGTGTAATACTTTGATTTCAATTCAATAGTAGTTTGAAAGATATTGCTACCTATATAATTTCTTAAAGAAGATTATTGCATGGTTGCTAAGGTCATGGATTAGTAATTAAGAGGTAAATGTTACTAGATATCAGGAGATTAGATTGTGATGTTTAATCCTAGATCAAAGTTAAAGATTCATCCTTTTTCAACAAGAACCAGTATGCAATATTTAGATTTTGATAGCTGGTTAAATGAAAGTTAAAACTTTTGACTATTTATAGTTTTGTGAAAAAAGAAGTATTATATAACTTAAAATTGTTATGAGGAGTAGTATAAAAAGATTGATAAAAGACTAGTTACTTTCTAGTCAATTAGTGGCATAATTATCTTTTAAAATTTTAATATTATCAATGAATTAATATGATTATTTTCTTTACTTTACTTTCCCATTGTATACAAAAGACGTTTCATATGTTCTCCTAAAACATTCTTTAAATTTTGTCAGGGGTAGTTATGCCAGAATTGTGTATATGAAGTAAATTGAGGGAAACAAATGTAAAATACATTATAATTATACGAAATGACAAAGTTTCGAAAACACAATTTTTTTAATGCTAGTATTATTTTAAGGCGTTGTTAAGGTAGTCAGTGTTTGGCATAGGTAAAGAAATTAAGGAAACTATCACGGGTCACTTTTAAGTTTTAATTTATGATAATGATTCAAATGAAAAAAAAAATGAAGAAAAAAATGACATTGAAAGGCATAAGTATGTGAGGAATTGAACAATATGTTAAACTGTTGCTGGGGTTGTTTTTTGCTTCATCATACGATGTTATTGATGTACAGTTTGTATACTGATGTTGATGAAAATGATCCATCAACTTCGTGGTCATGTACGAATGTAATAAAC